TATGCTCAATTTAAATAAATATTTATAAATAAACAGAGGTCAATTTTTTTCGTTACACACTGTAAAACCATTGAAAATTATAAAAAAAAAATAAAAGCAAACCACCCTAAAAGAAATTGAAAATTATTTTGCCAATAATGTAAGTTAATTAAATGTTTAATTTTATTTAATAATTATCAAATTAAATTCACGTTTTATAGTTTAGTGTGCACTCGATGGACAAAAGTTTGTACCCAAAAATTATTTTGAGATTTTCTCAAAATTATATTAAATAAATATTTGTGTCCTTTACATCATTTCAAAGTTCTGGTTCTTGAGAAAGTTTTTTATTAATAACAAATTTTTATCTTGCGAAATTTTTATTATGAAAAAATTAAAAAAAAATTTGACTTTAAAATTATAAAATGGATGATCAATTTTAAATTTTATGTCCATTGAGTAAGTAAACGTTGATTTCCCAAACCTATAATTGGTGTTTCTGATGATGATAAAAAAATTTTCGATTAATCAATAAAAAAAAGCAAACCAATTATAATATTTTATTATTATTTTTATAATAATTACCATTTTCCGATTTTTCACGCTCTTGTTCTTTTGCTGATCTTTCAGCATTTGCCTTTTCTAATGAATCAACCTAAAATAATGGCAAATTATATATTTAATTTTATTTTCAAACATTGCTAAAATATCTCTATGTATCTATATTATTAATTATTTTACCTTAAGAGAGAATTCGCGTAAAACTTGGATCAAATATGGCATAGCAAAGTCATTAAGACCATGTCTCCATGCTAACTCCAATACAATATCTGGTCTAACAAAATCATAACAAACAAATAAACAAGAAGTGAAATAAATAAATGTAGATATAAAATAAAGTAAAATAAAGTAAAAATAGAAATAAAAGATTTGATTCGGAATTAGGATATTTCGGCCAACAAATCAGCGTTAAATCCTAATTCTGGTAACAATATATAAAGAAATTTAATTTGAAAAAACAAATCATGTTTTTTTACTGTAAGTTTTTTTATCAAGTTTATCATCATAAGTTTTAATTATCATAAGTTTTAATTATCATAAGTTTATTTATCATAAATTTTTTAAAACTTTTAGGCAAGTAATATGTGATATGAGCCCATTATTATTATACAGAAATTTAATTAAATATTAGAGTAAAATATTTAAATCATTATTATTATAGTAATAGAGAGAAAGTCATTGTATGAACTTTATTATTTAAATTGAATTTATAAAAATCACCAGACTTTTTCAATAAGCAAATAACATTTTTACCATTATGATTGAAAATTTAAATTAATTAAATATTGTATGTTGCAACACTTGTTCAGGATGACATCCTTTGATCTTTATCTACCTGACACAATTTAAGAATAAAATCTACAACAGTTTTAATTTCATTAATATCACTTCTAGTTGTTTTAAATGTGGAAAACCCTAGGTCACCTTTCATTATATTGTCATAAAGCTCAATACAATCCTTTGATCTTCCTTCCACTCCTTTAACATGATTATTAACATTCCAAGGATATTTTTTTGACAGCATATAGTAATTTACTATCCCAAATGACCAGATATCAATAGATTTGTCATATTCATATTGAGAAGTATCACCATCACTATCATTATCTGTTGTAAACATCGCAATTCTATCTTTGAATGCCTTGGCAAGTTCAGGCACAACAAATAAGGGTGTCCCAACTAAATCTGTGTTGGTCTGTTCAATATAATTGCCCATGCTGTCAATAGATCCTTCTATTTTTTTTGACTCACCAAAATCAATCAACCTAACTTGATTAAAATTAGAATCTGTAAACATGATGTTGTCAGGTTTGATGTCTCAATGCATTATGTGATTCTCATGAATGTACTAGAGGGAATAAAAAAAATTAAAATGTTACTATATCTAGTATAAAAGATATACAACTATGGTAATGTTTAAAATGATAAAATATAATATTTGAATACAATATTAATAAAACTATAATAAAATGTTCTTGTCTTTATAGCTGAACAAATTTGGAAAGTCAAATTTTTCCAATGTTGGAAATTTATAAAACCATTTAATGTTTTAATATAGTCCTCATGACTTCCTCCACTACATTCTCCTCATTATAATATTCTCATGGTCCAATATTTTCAAAATATCAATTTCATTTCTATATTCAATTATTCTGGTTTTGTCATATTTTCCATCACTGACATGGATAACTTTAGCAGCATAAATGTTTTTGTCACTACAGTTATTTGATCTAACTTTTTTAACAATGCATGATTTGCCAATTTTATTATCATTATTACTACCATCTTCATTATTTATAACATGATATCTTCTCCTGATTGAGCAGGTAAATGATTCTTTTCTTCTAAAAATCGATTGTAAGTATTAGTTTTGACATCTTCAAAAAATTGTACCTCTATATAAACATAATTGAATAAATTAATTGATTTATACTACTTACCAAAAATGTCCTCTTCAACCTTGATGTAAATTTTATCATTATTATTTAAAACCAATTTCTCATCCCAATCCAACTGTTTACTATTAACAAAAGTTTTCCTGTTCTGGCCATTTTTTATAACTGTTTCAAAATCTAATTCCTTGACATAATGCATGTTGTCTGTTTTTCTCTAATGGATGACAAATGATAGTATTATTATTATAGAAATTATAATGATTTCAATATGTGCATATAATAGATATGAATGATTAATTAAGCTATTGTTACTTACAATTTTAAGTATACATTGTACACTTGCAACAGATGGGTGGTTAATTCTCAAATTGGCTTTCAGGTCACACCCAATGGTTATCAGCTTTTTGGCTTCTGATAAAACAACCTTTTCATTTGAAAATACAACATATGGGATTGCTTTAGCTTCCATTTTAGCAATCTCAGCATTGTGCCTTTGTAGGCCAGGATGGATCATAACAACTTTTCTTGTAACTGGTGGTGGTTGTTTCAAAAGTATTAATTTTTTGTTGTTGTTGTTGTTGTTGTTGTTATTGAATTGTCTTGTTTTAATAATAATATTATTATCATCATCATTACCAGCATTATTGTCATTGTTATTACAACTCTTTACTTCTATAAAGTAATTTTCAAGTTCAATTTTGGCATCTTCAAAAAATTGCATTTCTATATAAATATAATTGAATAAATAAAATATTAATCAAATATACAAAACATAAACATATATGTAAATTAATTGATTTATACTACTTACCAATAAAGCCCTCTCAAGTCTTGACTAAAATTTATCATTGTGATTTAAAATATGTTCTTCGCTTGGTTCCAAAAAATTTTTATTAATAAAAGTTCTTTTGTTTGAACTATTTTTTATTAATGATTCATAACCTAAGTCCTTAATGTTTGATTTCCTCTAATGGAATTATAGATAATAATATTATTATAGAAATGATAATGATTTCAATATTGCATATAATAGATATGTATGATTAATTAAATTATTGTTACTTACAATCGAAATTATACAATGTATACTTGCAATATATAGTGGTTTATTAATCCTTATATTGCATGTTTCATCATGCCCAATGGTTATGCAATTTTGAAAATCTGTTATATTAGCTTTTTGATTTTTGTATATAACAGATGAGATTGCACAATTTCCATCTTTTTTGGGTTTATTGACCAACTTCATATTCCTACTAGGAGGATAGTATCTACGTGATCCTCGAAATACAGGTGAAGAGGTTGGCATTGGTGATGGTCTATCTGCATGTCTTCTAAAATTAGATAAACCAGGTAAACTAAGATAACTTTAGCTTCCATCTTAACAATCTCAGTTTTGTATTTTAAAATTTTTCTTCGGCGTAGCTCAAGTGCAATATGTAATAACAGTCACTGTTATTATTATTATTATTATTATTATTATTATTATTATTATTATTATTATTATTATTATTATTATTATTATTAT